GTTGCTGATATGAAAGGTTCCGCTCAAGTTGACCCAACTGATCCTCGAAGGGTGGCCTCTGCTGCTGCTGATGAAAGTCTAATGGTCTAAACCCTGCAGAAGAGTGTGAACGCTGGATCCCAGGATGAGTCCTTAAAAGCTGATCACTATGATCAGATGGCCACAGAGGGTCAATATGTCTTTGTTCCTCGAATAGTGTATTGTGCCTCACTCCATTTGCCAATTGCATAAGCTGCTCTTGCTGCAGCAGCTGGTACTCCAAAGACCGGATTGTTTCAGATTGCAGTTGTCCGTGTTGAGATTGCATTTGTCCATAATGAGATTGCTTTTGTCCATACTGAGACTGCATTTGTGTTGAAAGTAGCTGTTCAAGTAGCTCCCTTTGGTGGCCTTCATGAGAAAACTGGCCAAAATTTCCTGCAGCAAGTTGCTCAATATATGGTGCGAAATTTTGTGAAGGATGGCCAGAACTTTTCTGCAGTTCATTCATCAGCTGCCGCTCTAACAACATCTGATCAACATTGTTGGATCGAGGGAAGTCATGTGACTGCCCAAACCGTGTATCAGGAGTCTGTCCTTGTAAAATCTGTTGAAAATGTAATTGTCGAGCATGGGACTGTTGTTGCTCCTGTAAGAGCTTCTGATGTAACTGATGCTCTTGTTCCAGCTGATGCTGTTGCAACTGAATCTTCTGCTGCTGTTGCAATTGAATCTTCTGCTGCTGTTGCAACTGAATCTTCTGTTGCTGCTGCAACTGGAGAGTTATTAAATGCTCCAGATCCTGAGCTTGATCACCTATATGTAAATGCGACAGCATATCCCGATTCTGAAAATGCTGTTGGTGATGTTGATCCCCATGGTTAAAGAAGTTGGATTCATGTTCAAGCTGTGACATCCGGTTAGCAGTCAGAGTATCGAGGGACATGCTGGGGTCAATTTGTGTATTTCTTCGGGAATTAATGGGACGGTTGTCTATTGAACCAGTAGGCTCCCCCATCGCACCATAAGATCTGTTTGACGGGTTAACTGGTGTACTACCGCCCTCTAGCTCAGACCACAACACACCAAATGGGTGCAGCTTATTCTCATTCTGATTTCGAGCAGCCTTAGTTGATTCAACAGGGATATCAGAGTGGCCAGAAAATTCCATAAAAGTATCATGCATACTTGTACACGATTTTACAGACGACTCACAACCAGAAACTCCAGCTCTTCCTGGGAATACAATTTCTAATTTAGAGAAAAATAAAAAAAACATTGATTAGTTATGATGAACACAAAATAAATTAATATGATAATGAAATCAAATGAAACCCAGCACATGAGAAAAGGATAACAGCGTAACAAACCTTCATCCTGAGCAGAAAAGTCCAAGAAACTTTGGTCCTCGGCATGTGGTGGTCTTACATAAACTTCTGACTCAGACTTTCTCAGAAAATTATCCTGAGCTGAAGGGTTATCATACCCAGAGAATGAACGAGACATGCCAGTCAACGAAGATGAATCATTAGATTCTGCTACAGGTGCAATTGATACACCAGCCTCTGAATTTGCTTTTAAACTAGTCTCTTCTAGCTCACTCTTTTGGTCACTGATATGAGCATGAGCGCTTTCTGTCTTTAAATATGACAAGACCCTACCTAGATCTTGAAAAGGAGTTCCTTCTGGAGCATTTGCCAAGCGAACCTGTAGGTCTGTCCCAAAAAACCCTTGTTCAAACCATGAAATAATGTCAGAACCAATAAACGGTCCCTGAATTACTCCTTGAGGGTCAATATACAAGAACAAAAACTCCTCAGGTGGCATAGCCCCTTCCGAGTGTTTCACTTCAATATCTGGTTGCTGCAGCTTGCCTGTATAATCTTGCTCGAAAGAAGCAAGAACGGATTCACTCCCATCCAACACAGAGGACTTAGTAAACGCAGATCTAACCGATTCAGGACTTCCATAAGAAGCTTGATAACCAGCTCCAACAGATCCACAACTTTCAGAAGCCACTAAATTCAATCTTGAGACGCTAGAAGCAGCCCCTAAACCTCCCCTATGACTCCCAAGTAATCCTACAAAAATAGTTGTTCGACTTTTAGTCAGAATATATAGGACATAAAAAATTGCCAGAAACTGATAAGAATGGACATTATCTAAAAATACATGATATTTAAGACCAAGACACGGTTAACACCCATCATGCCCGTACCGGAATCATTATTTTGCAGGGAACTATTGTCACCATTCAAAGCACCATCCACTTTTGTCTCACCTGAGTCAGGTATGCGGTATTTCACTGCAGCACATACAAAAGACTAAGGTCAGAGAAGCATTCCTCATATCATGCTAGGTGGAATGATAAGAGGCCAAGCAACAAAAGACAAGATAACATACCCAGACTGTTTTCACCTAAGGATTCTTCCCCAGATGAAGTGTAAACTTCGCTACTAATGATCCTTCCCTTCCATATGCCGTTAAGGCTTGCCTAATAGACAAGATTAAGATACCCGTCAAGAAACTCAGGAAAAGTCAGTTACAAATAAGAAACAGTAAAATTAATGCACACTTATGAAAAAGGGCGATGGAAACAAGTTCTCAGTGGGGACCATACCTCTTCTTCAGCATCAGGTGGGTTAAAAGCAAGAGGTTCGATCAGAGCCACTTGAGTTAGGGAGGCAACCTCATCCATTTCAGTCGGTATCATACCTAGGGAAGGAGCAGGCTTCTGTTCTCTATACATGTCAAGCAACTTACCCCTTGGATACCGAAACAGAGGGACTGAAGCATTACCAGCACCAATTAAGGAAGTTGAAGAACCCCTCCCAATAGTAGATGCCCTTCCTCGGCCCACAGTGAACCCTAAATTTGGGCCCTCAGCTCGTCCTCTATCAAGTCCAAACCCAGGTGCAGCGCGATAAGAAGTCGGCCCACCAGACTGAGATTCCATCCTATGACGAGGCCTCCATTTGTCACGAGGGTCGGAGTCCCGTTCAGAAGTTGTACGGACGCTGCTAACCACAGATTGACTTTCACCCTGTGGCTCTTCCTTGTCCTTGATGTTATTTACCTTTTCACAACGGGTTTCTTTCTCTTTGTCATCAGGACCCCACCGAGATGACCATTTGTTGTCGCGCCGGGGTTCATTTACAGCAGCACGAGAATTAACATCATTCCACCTATCAGAAGCAGCAGTATTTTTATTGTCACCAGTTTCTCTGCTTGAGACAGTGTCAACGCGACGTTCTGTTTTTCGTCGATCAATTTTCCTAGCACCGAGTAAACCAGTTTCTCTTTCCTCTTCACGCCATCTGCGACTAATTTCATTCTCAGGCACAATTTTCCTCCAGTCCTTTTTGTCTTCAGGTGCATCCAAGCGCCATGCATCCTTCAGATTTGGGTCACTTGGATTTCCCATGGGTACAGGAGTAGGAGATCGAACATCCTACCAAACAGCAAGAATATCAGATGAAGAATTAAGAGTAAAAATGTTACAGAGAAACAAAGAACTTGACACTTTCTAGATGTGAAGAACAGGCATGGCATCTTCTGATACAATAAGGTGAAAAAAAGACAAGATTCGTATAGCATCTTTGTAGATTAGGTATTACCATCTTGCTCTCGCTGGATTTGGTGTAAAGCCACTGCGGAGACAAGGGAATGCTGTTATCTGACGCCAATTCTGCAGAAAAAAACAAATACAAGGTAGTCAATACTCAATAGGTGAAGGAAATCAGAGAAATCATTCAGATACAAAGTCAGAAAGCCACTAATGGCAGAATTAGAGGCACGAACAAAGTCATTGGTTCATTTTTCCAGATTCCAAAGTCTGGAATAAGCAACAAAAGAGAATTCCGTCCCTCGTTTCAATCCAAACATGAAGTTGCTAATGCATCTAAAGCGGGCATAACAAGGTTGATAAAGGATAAGATTGATATCGTAGAACCCTAATCAGCACATACTAGGTCAAATTTTGATAAATCTGCTTGGAAATTGGTATTTATGGCTGCCGCATCCTATCATATTCAGATCCAGAAACCAAACGATTACATTTGTTTCTCCGCATTCAAATCGGTCGAGAGCGAAAGAAATTCAAATTCAAATTCACGAAATCTAGTTTGAATTAAAAAAGAGAGAAACAAGACGAGGATTGAGAGAGAAGTACCTTTCAACTGATCAGAAGATTTGGAAACGATGAGATCGTCAGGCAGATCGAACTTCCCTTCGGCCATGGCAGGATTGAAACAACCAACTTCGAGATTACGTATGAAGACGGAGACGAAGGAGCGACCGCAGTTGAAGAAGAAGAAGAAGAAGCCAAGTACAGAAGAGAAAGGGTTTTGGAGAGATTTGGCGGAGAAACTTTTTGCAGGATTTCGATAATTGCCTTTGCAAGAGAAAAAGCTTTTCGCGTCGAGATCGAGAGTGAGTGAAGGAGCAAGAGAAAGGAAAGGCTACGGAGGGCTTTGCTTGTTTAACAACACCGATCCGACTTTCCCCAGTTTTTGTTTTTTTCTTTCTTTTTTTTTTTTTTTGTCAACCCCAGGTTTAAAAAAAAAAAATTATCATTGTTCATTTATTAATGGTACTTTGTTTATTTAAACCACTATGTATTAAATTTAATTTTCCAGTACTACTTTCCTTTAATGTTTTGTTTCAATTTTATTTGAAGGTATAACGATTATATTAGTGGTATTTTTTTTTACTTAGAGAGGAATATAGTAAAAGTGGTATTTGATAAAATTTCTTAATATATTTATGATTTAAATATACTTGAAACTTTTCAACAAGATTTGAACCTGTTATGTAACAACGGAGAAAACAAAAAAAAACTTTTGATCAACGGGGGAAACAAAAACAAAAGAGAGATTTAAGTGATTTTTTCAAAAATTGTCCCACAGGCATCCACTTCTATGATAGAAGTTCTATCCACTAAACGGCCAACTTCAGCAAATTCGAGATTGCGTTGAAGAAGGAGACGAACAAATTTCTTGATGATGACAACAAAAAAGCAGTAAGACTCAAATCCCATGTTTTACTTTGGAGTGGAGGTGCCTTCTTTTGCAATAATAACCAAACACAAGGTTCAAATTTTATTTTTGTTAAATCAGGTAACGACAGAGACTTGATCTACGAGTCCTTACAAACTATGACTAGCTCCTCTTCCGTCTTACTCATTTTTCACCGCACTGCTACAGCTTTTTGTGTTGCTAGCTCCCGGAGAAGTTGGTGCATCTGATTCACCACACGCCCTTAGAACAGCCTCATTCTGCAAGAGACTCTCACAACTATTAAACCAATACTTGTGTCGAAGAAGATCGAAAATGTTCCTGGGTATGAGCTCAAAATCATCACAAACATGTTGATGGATCGACAAGCTTTACCAAACAATGTATAACACGCTGCGATGCACAAGATAGCCCAAACGAGCTCGTATAAAACACAAGCATATTGAGAGATGGACAACCTTTGCATGATATACCAAACACCAAATCGGGAAAAATGAATTCCAAGTGTTCGTATGATTGATAGATACGCAAACTCTAAATGCTAGATTGTTTCACTATAATAACATCAATAAAGCTGATGATATACTCTGTTCCTAGTTCGACAGAAAGATACTTGGAAGCCTAAAGTTGCTTATACCAAGAACAAAATCTTGACAGCATAAGTAATTACAAACTACACGTTTGGCCTTGTCCTAACTCATTACAACTAATCAGACCAAAGGAGACCACATCACATAGACTGAACAACATTTTGCAATCGAAACTGATAATGTTGAAATGAATCCTAAAATACTTTCAAACACGAAAAACCAATAAATACCTAATCCATCTTTGGCCGGAATTCTAGGGAAGTGAACGCAGAATAGAGGATCTAGACTACGAAAGAGAAAAGTTGTCTCAAAACCCATAAACCCTAAAAGATGGAAAAGGAAGAGTACCTGCCAAACGCGACGGAGGCGGGTTTTGGCATTGGCTTTACGAGTAGGTGTAAGCTTGATCCGCTTCCAAAGAAGACCACCGGAATCGTGCTTCTTCACCAATTCCATCACTCGAGTTCCCCAAAACGCACCCATTCCGCCTCCCATGGCCGCCTCTCTCTTTCTTTCTCTCACATTAAGAGACGAGCAAGGGTCTTAGATTAGTTCGAGCTTTACCTCGATCAGCCCATTTGTTAGTAAACTATAGGCCCATTTAACTACGACTTTAACAATTTTGCTAACTCCGTATTTCCAGGTTTTTTTAAAGAATATGAAACTTTTTGATGAGGATCCTAATTTCATTCACAAAACGACCACATGTTTTCATAACTTTTCGGGTAACTGGACATTGAAACTTACATGATTGGAGTTAAAAGTTGACAATTTGAAGACAAAAAGAGTGTACAGTAGTAATGTATTATATGTATAAGATGATCAACCGAAGAGAAGTGTTAATGTAAATGATATTATGATCAACCGAAGAGAAGTGTACATCAAACTTGGTACATGTACCTCGAGTAATGTTATCTACAAAAATAATCCACACGGAGGACTCTAATGTTTTTAAGTGCTAAAAAAAGGCAACAACATATGCTCTTATCTCAGAAATAATAACTCTAAGGTGACAAACAAGACATTTAATTCTTCTGAGTTTACCAAGGTTTAAGGTCACCAACCGGACCAGCAGTCCAATTCAGTTCCTTCTCACCTGCCTTCAAGTATATGCTTTTGTCGTGAGGCAACTTCCGAGCTAACCCGTTAAGTATCTGATGGAATGCATCCCCTGGTTGCGCTGGTTGAGGGAAAAGCATGGCTCGTTTCATCGAAGGGTTTGCCAGGAGTCTCTGTTTCCTGAGGATCACTTCTGTTGGTATTGAGGTTAGGATCGTGTCTAGTTCAGGGACGTCTTTTTCCGCAACAAAGACTCCTATTTCTTCCCAGGGGATGGCGTCTGCGAAAGGCAGTACTATGTCGTCCGCTATGATAACTGGAATACACCCAAACACAACCGCTTCAACTAACCTCGGGCTCCATGGAGCCCATCCTAGAGGACATAGACAAAAGATGGCTCTTTGCATGTCTTCGTAGTATGTTGTCGGGTGATCTGTTGAGATGTCGAATAGAGGGTTGTTTTTGAAGTTCTCCCACACCGCTGCTCTTGCACCTCTATATAAAGAGAGAAGCTTCATTCAGAAGATTCCAAGACAATTTGATCTAAGCTAACTACATATATATCTAACCTAGCTTCCTAATGAGGAATGGTAAATTGTAATCTTAAAAGTAGATCTTGATATACTATCGAGATTGACGGTTCCACTTCTAGCAAAATCTCATCACTGAAAAGTTATACAAGTCTACACAATACGTACCTTGCATAATAGCCCCCTTCTGGGTCGTTGTTAACATCATAGAATAAACCGCGGAAGTAGACAAAGATAGAACGTGGAATATCTGGAGGAATAAAATGGGCCTGCATCTTCTGTGGAGGTGCAAAAGGAGGAATAGTGATCGAGCCTTCGTCCAAACAGACATGGTTCCTTTGACCAAATGTTTGAACCAAAGTGGCACGCTGGAGAAGCGGAAGTATCCCTCTTTCAATGGCTTTTTCCTCCTGTTAATGTCGATCAAATCTTTAATTCCCACACAAATCATTGGACTATTCCAAAATCTTATGCAATAAACTCAGTTTCCACGTAACCAGGTACTAGTGTAATAATACAACAGCTAATCTAAAACTAATGATCATGTATCATTGTTAGATCACAGGGTGTTCTTGATGAACAGCAATCACCAAAGTATTCAATGCATATAAAACCAAAGTTTGTTTGTTCCTGAGTGCCGAGAAAATCTACCTGATAATGGAAGCAAGCTCCAAAGTCATGGGGAACAACAAAGAAGTGATCAGCTCCTTCTGTCCGATTCCAATAAGGCCAATTCGATGAAATTAATTGTATCGCACTTCTCATCATACGCGGAGACTTAAAAGGCAATGGCAAGCCGGTAGGAGTGAGATCGCAAGTAGGGTAAATTGGCGTGTAAAACCAATCAGCTTCATCGGGATTACGCGTTCGAACAGGACTAGATAAAAGGAACCTGTGCATAAAAATCTCAGCAGCAAACATGTGTGTAAGACATCGAGGATCCTTTTGGAGTAATTTCTTGTTGTACTTGCTTGGAAGCTCGTATACAAAAACCTTAAGCTTTCCCACTGGATTATCCTCCAAAACATCACCAGCACTTCCTGCATTTCAAAACCACATTTTTGAGCTCTCTTACACAGCAAATCAAATTACAAATACAATACATAAAGCAATTTGAAAAGGGTATACACTGAAGAAACCTCCGATTTCAAATAATTTGATTAAACTAGTACACACCTAAAGGATAAATCGCGAAAAAAATAAAAATCAATTGAACTCTACATTCCAATCTGTTGGAACAAGTACCTGAAATTCGCTCTGTCCGGACATTTTGTTCAGAGGAAGAAGCGGAGAAGAAGAGGAACAGAAGAATGGCGGAGAGGCAAGAGCGAATCTTCATATCTACCGGAGATGTGTGCGAAGGTTTGGATCCCATAAAGGAAGAAGGAAGAGGAAGCATATAAGGGAAGGGTATCGTTGGGAGGTCATGGGCGCAGTGGTTGACGAGTTTACTTCGGGATTAGGTTTTAGGGTTTATTTTATTCACAAGGAAGATGTGAATTGTGAAAATGAAACAGAGAAGATGGAAAACGATATTGGAGAAATAGCTTCAAGTCACAGATATGTAAGAAAATTGCTTGTCATGTACTTTTTTTTTTCTTCTATGAATTCAACGACCAAGACGGAAACTGGTACACGTCACAAGGCGGGTCTCTTTATGGGCTGAGTTAATGTCCATTGGGCCTCGCTAACGTCCAACGTTGACTAGATGGAACTTCCGTAGTAATTTGGCCATGATCGTTTTACAGTGGCCACTGGGCAGCAACAACTACTTAACGACAACAATTATTTTTTATTTATTTTGTAGCTGTTGGTATACGACAATTTTAGGTGACATATTTCAATGATTAGCGATTAAAAATTGTCATCGTTAAATTTTGAATCACAGTCAATAAACACAATTTATTCGATGATCACTGTATGATTTAGTTTTTGATCGTTGTATGTCAGGAACGACTATGAAATGAACATTGTAATATATCTCAAAATATTTAATGACAACAATTTTAAGTTTTACTAGTGAAATACGATATGACTCGCGGTACACCGCGGGATAAATAAATTTTTGTTTCTGTTTTTTTTCGTAACTTGATTATTTGTGTTGTAATATATTTGATTAAGAAATTTTTTTGTTTATAATCTTATGATTGATTGTAGATTGTATTTGGTTTGTAATAAATCTAGATTTTACTCTACGGTACACTGCAGTAGATATTTTTGTAACTAAAAAATTTAAATTTTAAGTTGTACTTATTTTGTTAATATTTTTTATTTTGTTTAGTGTGTTTAAAATTGTACAATTGTAATTTGATTGTTAATTCTAGGATTTTACCCATGGTATACCGTCCCGTATTAATATCGATCCAAACCCATGCCATCATATAATCCCGTATTGTGAAATTAAACATCATTTTGTGATTATACTTTTTAATGATATTTTATTTAAAAGACATATAATTCGAGTTAATTTAAAATTTGCTTTTAAATGGTTCACATAATAGTTATATTTTTAATTTATATAGAGTTCAAATATTATTAATATTATAAACTTATATAGAATTTAAATATTATAAATACTCTAAAAGTTTTATAAAATTTAAGTCTTTATGATAGTTAAGCTTCTTATAAAGTTTAAATAATTATAATATTTAAAATTCTTATAAAGTTAAAATATTTATAATATGTCTCTAAATATTCAATGACAACAATTTTAAGTTTTACAAGTGAATTGTTTCAATTTTTGCTTAAAAAGTAATGTATATGTTTTGTTGGGGGTGATTTTCCGTAGGTCAATATAACCATAACATTGTGGATAATAATAATTTGTTGGAGTATGAATACTCTAAGGAGGGGTTATTGGTTCATGGAATTACAAGGAATTACAATTCCAAACAAAAATCATTTGTTATTCAATCATTGATTTTAAATCTTAATTAAAATCATGTGTTATTGGTTCCATGATTTATAAATACTAGTTAAAATCTTATGTTATTCGTTTAGTCATTTCTTTTTGGATTTGAGAATCCAAATTATGTTTTAAATAGATTTGAATGGAATTGAAAGAGAAAAATAGAAGGATTCAAATCCATGGGTAAACACGTGTTATTTCAAAATCCATATATCTTGATTTCATAATTAATAGAAATTTTCAAATTCTATATGGATTTACAAATTAATAAACCAATAACACCCCCTAAGAGAATCAAAATCTTATTGGAGTCATCCAGTATTATATGAGAAAAAATGATACTCTCCCCTCTGTTCTTAAAAGAATGATGTTTGAGTTTTACACACAAATAAAAAAAAAAAAAATTATAATTTTTATTATTATTTTCTTAGTTAAATAATATTAGTTTTACTTCTCTTCTTTTTTTATTGGTTACAAACAAAAATAATAATGATTTTTTTACAAAACATCAAATTTGGTGGAACAAATAAAAAACTCAAAACATCAAATAACTAGAACAGAAAGAATACAATGGATGAGTGAGGTTGGTTAGACTTGAAAAGTCATTGATCACGGCATTTGTCCATTATTCCGTTTTTAAAGTAATTTACATTCTCCTTTAAGATCTCTCAGTCCAAAGACAATGCAAACAATAATTTCTCCACTTGTTTCTCATCGTCTCTGTCTTGCTCCTGCTGTTCCTCGCTACCGTCTTCCCAACATCTACCATCGTGCTCCTCCTTCGATCCGTCTCTCAAACCACCGTTCCACCACCTCACCCTGCCTCTTCTCCTCCGCCGGTAGACCCCACCACCTTCTATATCCCTTTTAAACTTTTTGTTTCCAAAATATTTTTGCTTGAGTGGGGCAATTCCGTCAAAGCGTGAAATCATTAGGATAAAGTGGTCATTATTTCATCACTGTGTCTCTTTTGAGTCTTAGGGTCTCTCTCTCTGTGTTTGCAAATCTGACGCCGAGTCTTTTGCTAAAAAGCAGCAGCGAGTCGGGACAGTGAAATGGCGACTGAAGATGTGCAAGATCCGAGAATCGCCAAGATCGCCTCTTCCATTAGAGTCATCCCCGACTTCCCGAAACCAGGTCTCCTTTCTTTCTATGTTTCCACGAGGCTTTTGTTATTTAAACCAATTATCGTCTCTTAGGCTTGATCTGGTTGGATACTTGGCAGGAATCATGTTTCAGGACATAACGACGCTTCTTCTAGACACTGAGGCCTTTAAGGATACTATTGCTTTGTTTGTTGATAGGTACAAAGATAAAGGCATATCTGTTGTTGCAGGTAACTCTTATGGTTCTGTTTGATTCTTCAATCGATTAATAGCTTGTGGGTTTCTCCAATACTAGATTTAATTGCTTTTGGTCTTGATGGAATACTGCGTATGTTAGCCTAAACTGTAAGTTGTGATGAATTTTGGTGGATGATTTTTGGTTCTGCCTAAATGGATGTTGTGGTAAATGCAGGTGTTGAAGCTAGAGGTTTCATTTTTGGCCCTCCTATTGCGTTGGCTATTGGTGCCAAATTTGTTCCCATGAGGAAGCCCAAGAAGCTACCTGGTATATTTTTCTTTCTTCCTCTACTTGTGATTTTGATATTGAGTTACATCCGAGGTCTCAATTGGCTGGGTATCCATTAAATTAAACAAATAAAGTTTGGTAGGAAGATGTTAGTTTAAATGGCTTATTGCTCTAAGTCTACACATTATCATTATCTTGAACATGAGCAAGTGACTTCTATCTTGCTATGTCTTCGATTATCTATGATGCTACTCATTTGCTAGATCACATTTCTTTGTGGTAACACGTAGTAGCCTAAGTGGTTGCTATTTTTTCTGTTACATATCGATGGACTAAGGTGTATATCTTGACCAATTACAAGAAATGTGTTAAGTCATTTGGAAGCTTATTGAGCAGTGTCAAATAATTATTGCATTCCCTGTTTTGTCCGTGGAAGTTAATTTTTACAATTCCTAATGATTTTGGTTTCTTTAACAGGGAAAGTTATTTCAGAGGAGTATTCGTTGGAGTATGGAACAGATACGATTGAGATGCATGTAGGTGCAGTAGAGCCTGGTGAGCGTGCTATTATTATTGATGACCTCATTGCAACGGGTGGGACTCTCGCTGCTGCAATCCGACTACTTGGTAAGTCCAAATTTGAGACTTAAGTTTGTGTTCACGTTGTAAATTTATCCTTTTGATAATGCAGCATATACAATTCAGTTAAACTTGATTATTTCTCACTCCCACAATTGGTTGTGTTTTGCAGAACGAGTAGGAGTGAAGATTGTTGAGTGTGCTTGCGTAATTGAATTACCAGAGCTTAAGGTTTACCTTCTTTGTCTCTGTTTTACTACCTGCTTCCAATCTCTGACACTGATTTGCTTATAAAGAGATGTGTGGTTGCAATGTTTTTGAAGGGAAAGGAGAAACTAGGAGAGACACCGCTATTTGTTCTTGTAAGCTCGGCTGCTTAACAAGAAACAGAAATGGAGGGTTATTGAATCAAGTGTTGATGCTATTTTTCATGTATGGTGAGACATTTTGCTTGGGGGTTTGATCCTTGTTGTTTCAACTTATCATAATTGGCTCAGACTAGAAAATGGCATTTGAATGTCAGGATTCAATTGCAGTTTCCGATTGTTTGACCTAAAAAAATCTGATGAATAAGAAGATGTTATGGGTTTTATTTATAGAATCAAGTTGTAATGGGAAACTCAATTCTTCTTTTAAGTTTCACGTCACTTTTATTCCTTAAGGACATATAACATATTTGCTCGTTCATGGTCCTCGTCGCTCGGTATATATTTTGACATGCCTGCTTTTGACGGGTAACAACAAATGTACAAATACTAGGCAGGCCTTATCCTCGCTTTGCGTAGAAAAAACTCAAAAAAAAGTCATCTCAGTTTGTGTCAAGAAAAACAAGCCTAATCATCCTTTTTTTTTTTTTGGTCTAATAGCAATACTTGTTCGAAAGAAATTCAAAAAAAAAAAAAACTCATCACCTCTCTCTTTCTAAATTTACTCATTTATTTGGTTACTTCCTTCTCTCCTCGAAATAATGACATGTGTATTTTTACGTTTCATACATATGCATACTACAGTGTTTAATCATAACAGTAGGGTTAATTTGGGAATGTTTAAAGCATGCTATAGTTGAAAACAGATATAAATGTGGGACCTAAAACAAAATTCAAATTACCTTAGAAAAAGAAAAAGAAAAAAAAAAGAAAATCACAGCGTGGTTGCTGCTGGCTTGTTGCTTACATTGACATGAACAAGACACACAGTGCAAAATGACAAAGAGCCCTTCATCGATTTCGAATCTTCTCTCTGAGTAAAATCGATTTCACAAATTCGAGGTTTTTGGTTTTTAGCTTACTACTCCAAGAAATCTCAAGTTATAAGTCACTTCCTATCAAATCCGGTTTTCATGGCGGCTGCTTTTCGCGTTTCTCCTTGTCGCTAATTGCGTTTACCTTCTGCCATTTTCATGTAAGCTTCTTCCATTTCTCCATTTTTTCCTTTTTTCTGAGCTCGTTTTGGAGCTAAAATAGAAAAATCTATATAGGCTTAAGGATTTGTGGTTGATTTCTGAATTCATGTTTCTGTTTTTTCCTTAGTGAAGCTGATTATAAAAGCGGCGTAGATCTCTGAATCTGTTCATTACATTTCTGCGTTTGTGAGGAGAAGGAGGAGAAGATGTTGTGTGCTTGTTCAGGCGAGCAATTCCGGTTCGAGGATCAGCCCGGTTCGCCGGAATCCCTAGCTACTAGAGATTTCTCAGCTAGTGGACTTTCTTCTCGAAATGGAGGAGGCGATTGGGATTCGAAATTGGAAGATATTCAAGTCGATGAAGCTGAATCGACTTTAAAGGAAGCTCTATCACTCAACTATGAGGTGTGTTTAGCTACTCTGATGCATCAATTTTTTTGCTGTTGTGGGTTTAACTGGAATCATCCCGATGTTGAGTTTTTTTTTTCTTCCTCGTGTGTGTTTAGGAAGCTAGGGCTTTGTTGGGGAGACTTGAATATCAGAGACGTAATTTCGATGCAGCGCTTCAGGTGTTTAAGGGGATTGACATTAAGGTCTTAACTCCAAGGATAATCAAAGCCATTGTTGAGAGAACTCGTCCTTGCAAACCGCGCTCCAAAGTTGTTAGTGTGCCTCCCTGCACAATGTCTATGCATTCAGTCAGTTTACTTCTTGAAGCAATCTTGCTTAAAGCTAGATCACTTGAAGAACTCGGCTCTTACCAAGGTATGTATGCATGGATTTTAATATTACCTGTGATGCTCTCCAGATTTTTGCATTGGAATCTAGTCACATTGTCCTGCTGTTTACTGTTTTACCAGAGGCTGCAGAAGAATGCAAAATAATCCTGGACGTGGTTGAATCTGCACTGCCGAGTGGCATGCCTGACGGAATCAGCGGATTCTCTAAACTGCAGGAAATTTTTCAGAAGGCCCTGGAATTGCTTCCTTTACTATGGACCAAAGCGGGGAATCATCATGAAACTATTGCTTCATATCGCCGTGCTTTATCCAGACCATGGAATTTGGATCCCCAGAGGTTAGCTGTTACGCAGAAATCCTTAACTTTGGTTTTACTTTACGGGAGTGTTGAGGCATGCCCAAAAGACAACATCGAGGAAGCAATTGTGTTGCTAATGTTACTTGTAAAGAAGATGGTGGTTGGCGACATACAGTGGGATGCAGAGCTAATGGATCATCTCACTTACGCCCTTTCCATGACTGGACAGTTTGAAGTGTTAGCGAACTATCTAGAGGAGACTCTTCCAGGTGTTTATACTCGCGGGGAGAGATGGTACCTTCTCTCCCTTTGTTACAGTGCTGCTGGGATCGATACAGCGGCCATCAATCTATTAAAGATGGCCCTAGGCCCTTCTGAATCAAGACAAATTCCACACATTCCTTGGTTATTGTTTGGAGCAAAGCTGTGCTCTAAAGATCCAAAACACTCAAGGGATGGCATAAATTTCTCTCATAGGCTGCTCGACTTGGCAAACAGTCAGAGTGAACATCTTTTGAGTCAAGCACACAAGTTCCTTGGTGTGTGCTATGGAAACGCTGCAAGAAGTTCTAAGTTAGACTCTGAACGGGTTTTCCTTCAGAAAAAATCTCTGTTCTCTTTAAATGAAGCAGCAAAGAGGGGCAAGGCTGATCCAGAACTAGACGTTATATTTAACCTAAGCGTTGAGAATGCAGTTCAAAGAAATGTTCAGGCGGCTTTGGATGGTGCGGTTGAGTATTCTAGTATGGTGGGAGGAGTTTCAACTAAAGGATGGAAACATTTAGCTATTGTCCTTTCAGCGGAGAAACGGCTCAAGGATGCTGAATCAATTCTGGACTTCACCATGGAAGAGGCTGGTGACCTTGAAAAGTTAGAGCTTCTGAAGTCAAAAGCTATGCTTCAGATGGCTCAAGAACAACCTAAGCAGGCAATGAAGACATGCAGCAACTTGCTGGGCCTAATTCGAGCGCAAGAGAAATCTGAAAAGTCCGAGGTACCTAGTTTGGATGTTAAAATATGAAAGAAACATATTCTGTGAATTTTGTGATATCGCTGAATAATCTTATTCTTTATTCCCAGGCTCTGCTACAGAAATTTGAAACGGAAGCTTGGCAAGACCTGGCCTCTGTCTATGGAAAGCTAGGTTCATGGTCAGATGCAGAAGCATGTCTCGAGAAGGCAAGATCCATGAGTTATTATTCTCCTAGAGGCTGGAATGAAACAGGTATGGAGAAAATACTGAAAAAGTCTTAAACGAACTCATCAAGTTTTCCACATTCATAAATTCCCGCGTTTATAACAAGCTCGATACATTTGCTTCTATGGCTGGGACAGGTTTGTGTCTAGAAGCCAAATCACTTCATGAAGAGGCTTTAACATCCTTCTTCCTCTCACTCTCGATTGAACCAGATCACGTACCCAGCATTGTTTCAATAGCAGAGGTTATGATGAAATCCGGGGGTGAATCACTTCCAACCGCCAAAAGTTTTCTGATGAATGCCTTAAAATTAGACCCGAGAAATCACGATGCATGGATGAAGCTAGGGCACGTTGCAAAGAAGCAAGGCATGTCACAGCAAGCTGCAGAGTTTTACCAAGCTGCATATGAACTAGAGCTATCCGCTCCAGTACAGAGTTTCATTTGACTTGCAAGATTTTAGGATGAAGTTACTCGAGCAAGCCAAGCGAAACCAGGTAACAAAATATTCTTCAGCATATAACTAAAGTTGCAGAGTGGCAGATTCTTGATAACTAAAGTTGAAGTTGTAGTTTGTTGGATGGTAATGTAAGAACTGCTACAAATATGCAAGCCACGTTGGTTTTGAAGGGCTATCTTACAATCTACCTGAATCTATATTGTATCAGGCTTCCTTAGATGAAAGAATACCACAATTGCTCACCGATAGTATTCACTCTTGAGTTTTTGTTTTGGAAGCCAAGTCTCATCTGCGTTTGTATTGATAGTAAGATCATAGCTGCAATATGAATACTGACTGCATCGTACAAGGCCCCTCAAAAACCAATCAAGCGTAGCGGTCAGCGCGGTATTCTTAATCTGCACTGATACCTGGACCACTTATAGTATAATTTGGTTTTGAAGACCCATTTACAACCAAGAATATTCTGATTAACTGGAGGTGGAACAGTTCAAGGAGTTACTTCTCTCGTTTGGTATCAAACATGACGAACCAATGAAGTGATCTTAAATGAATAGCCATCGCTGTTAAGAACAACCAAGACCCAATGAGAATTTGCGCGTATGAGTCGAACAATACAAAATTCTTTTACGCCATTTTCTATTGAAAATATGATTTCGGTAGTCGGTACTCGTAAACTTGCTTAAGATAACACCACTCAACTTTCTACGTTAAAAGTTTGCAAAGAGACACAAACAGATTTAAATACGGGTTAATTATCATCCTCCAGCTCCTGAAACTTGTGTGTAGTTTTAAGTACTCAACATTTGAGTTTTTATTTTTTAAGACCTTCGCCTTCTACGATCGCTTCCAGCCCAAGTCATGAAGACAACAACGTTAAGTACATTACCAACGAAATTTAAAAGTTTCTGTTTCCAGAGATTATAATACCATTCTACTATAAGGAGGAACTTGTTCTTCTCAATTCATACTGTATTTCAACAGCAGAAATTATGACTAACTGACATTTACATATTTGCTATAGATAATATATATATATATAGATATATCATTACGCTAAAGAACTACTAGAAAGGGTAACACACATATTCCAAAACCTAATCTAAACGTTGCAGCTTGAATGACAAGTATCTCTGCGGTCAGTGGTTGTGTGAAACCTCCACGTAAAGACATAATCTTTGGAATCGCAAGCAAGTTTCGTTACATCGCAAAAGGCATGCATGTACACCTCCTTACCGACTCTTCCCCAATCTATCCTCACCCAGCAAGAGAACCCATTATTCTCAGTCATCACTGGAATTTTGGATTCACAAAAATTGATCATTACTTCCCCACAGATCCTCTTCCCTCTCACCATTGAATCCAGCCACGAGCACTCGGGCTGACCCATCATTTCCTTGTAAGCGGAGTTCACGAGCCTGACCCTGTTGTTGGAATCGGTGATCACAGAGGGCAAGTCATCGGATTCGACTTCCTCTTCGACCTCTCTTGGTGATTTCTTGCTGGTTTGAGATGGTGGAGATGGGTTGGTTAGTGGGTTTATGTAGGCTACGTTGATTTTTGAGCAAACCGGTCTTATGGCCTGCGGTGATATGACTCTGCTTGTGGTTGCGGTTGTGGGTGTGGTGATGGGTCCTTGTAGTTGCGTCAAGAAATCTCTCTCTTGTATCACTTCCGCGGTCTTGTTGAGATCAATGACACCTTTTCCTTTGATCTCTGGCTCCATGCATTTGGAGGGAGGAGGATAGCATTGAAGAAGAGGTAAAGTCACCAAAGCAGAAGAGCCACCATTGTCCAAAGCGTAGCCAACTTGAGCTAGGTTAGGTAACCCATGATGAGTGAAAGCCTGAAACGGCAGTGTTTTAATAGGTCCAAGAACACGTTGTGTAGAATTAGTAGAAGTGGGAGAAGAACCGCATAACGACTTTGGTCTCTTCATAGCAAGAGAAGAGGGACCCATCCCGCCTCGGCCTCGCTTGCGGGTTCTTGTAGGCCGCGCTTGAAGCTGAGGCCAGAGGTTACGAAGGTAAGGAGATTGGCTGATCTTGTGAGACATAGAGGAAGAGGGGTCATCGTCATTAACTCGAGGCGTCCCGGGCTTAGGAGCAATGGGTCTGTATTTAGACAAGATCTCAGCTGTTTTAAGAGTTGTGGTCGAGTGAGAATGGTGTGAGTGAGGGTTGAGTATCTTTATCATGACGTCAAGAAGAAAAAAAAAGAACTCAAAGAAGAAGAAGAAGAAGATATGGATGGTGAGAGATCAAAGAGAGTGATGAGGTAGGGAAGGTTATAAGAAGTGTGAAGGGCCAATAAGAGAGAGGCGAATATTAAGGAAGAAGGACATTTGGGGAGAGAAGGATGGGTACGTGTTAGTGAGGGTTGGGGATAGGGACACGTGTGAGGAAATGAGTTAATGTGCCGTTTTTACAAGAAGAGATGTGGTTCGGTTCACCAATCACAGAGGATGTCACCGCAACGCGTGTTGTTGCTGGGCGTCATGCGTGCCTACACCTATCCACTCTTTTTTCTTTTCTTCAGTTTAGTTTTTAAACCACATGCAATGTACTTCAAAGTTCAAACCAATATGCGAGGGTTTTCTTTTTTGGTTTTTGAAATGTAAAAAGCTTCAAATTATTTGTTTTAGTGTTAGGCGTTATTGGCGTCAAACTTTGCTTGTTCGAGATAGTTGGAGAGGTGTGGCTAAGTGATTGGTGCGTTAGGGAGTAACACGAGGCAGTTGCAGCGTCTGTCTGCTCCATGCAACGGTGGGAGAGAAGGAGAGACACGTGGTGGTTTTTTAGTTGACGTCTGGGGTCTTCTTTTCTCGTACGTGTCTTCTTTTTGTCATCCTTTTTTCTTAAAATCCTGACTTCGCCGTTTAACATCCTCTATTTGGTCGACACACAAACACATGTACTTTCTCTCATTCTTATTTCAGGGGAAAAAAGAAAAATTCGAGTCATTAGAAAAGAAAAAAAGTATACGTTTTGTATACCTACGGGGTTTAATGCTCCACCTTAATGATTTTACATTTTATAGAATGCGAGATTTGTTAAAACTTAAAACTATTCCCGTTCCACATCCACAAGGAGTTTAGAGCATCTTCAACAGTAGTGTCTTGAAGAATGTTTCAAGATTAAAAAAATAAAAAATAATAAAAAAGTAGGAGAGAGGATAAACACAGTTTCTGGTTTGAGAAATTTTGAGAAACTGTGTCTCTACTTGTCCTTATATTATTGGCCAAATTCTCTTTTTATGATTTATAATTTAAATAAATAATTTATTTCATATAAAATAATTAAAATAATATTTTTGAGACACCCATATAGTGTCTGATGGATGGAAATGCTCTTAAGACTTGTCATATATAACCAAAGAATGAAAAAGAGAGTTATTTGGACTACGATAGAAATCGTGCAAAAATGACCATATCACAGCCAAACACAATGGATTGACTCAAAAATGAAGAGAACACAACAACAACAACAATAACAACAAAAAGAGGTTCTCAATATATAAATCTAGGTGTGAGCTACAAAGCTCAATATCCAATGTATTGAAAACAAAGAACAAAAACAAAACTCATTAGGGTTCTTACAAAATTTTAGGCATGTATTACACTAAATATGGAAGGAAATATACTTCCTCACAACTTGACACTCTTCAACAGTTCTATTGCGTTTTCCTAGTGGGATAAGCAGGACCTCAAGAAGTTAAAGGAAACTTCTTTAGCTTCCTGTCCTTACTTATGTCCCAAATATATGTCTGTGAACTGGTTGTGTATCCAAATTTTTGACAACCTCCATCCATGGTTTCTCTATAACCAAGACTGCACTTTTTGATAGATGTCGTAAATATAGAACCGGGTGCTTTGAGGTTACCATTTCAAACTTCTTTCTCTTATTACTCTTACTCTCTTTTTGATACTCCTCTAGCCTACGTTTTTTAGCACCATTCCCCAATTTCATACCAATGCTTGCAAGTTTACCTTCTAGCTTTTCAGACAGATTGCATGGCGAATCCGCTTCCTCGTCTTGTTCCGCCGGCTTCCCAAATTCAATCAAACACTTAGCTCTGCTATGCAGCCAAAGATACATGTGTCATTATCACAAGGCGTTTGTCATAATTAGTGAAAAATCTGAAATCCAATTAAGTACCTGGAGCTGTAAATGATTACAGATGATGAACTTGGTGACGGAGAGAATGAGAGTCCTACGACCTCACCAGGAAAATTTTGGTAGCTCTTTGGCAAACAAAAAGTGTGCAGCAGTGACCACTTGCTCAACTCTCTAGCCTCCACGTCCAATGCAAAGACCTGGTTTGAAGAGGTAGAGATCACAAGCACATTGTTGTCCCTCGGATGAAAACCAGCAGCTGCAACAGATGCACCATCAAGCCTTGATATGAACCAATGCTGCCTGTAATCAGAATTAGAGCCTAAATGAAAAAAATATACAAGCAGGTGCTTGAATATATGCAAGCCATACTTGTATTTCTCTGCACATATATATTACTAGGAACACGTGACAAGTCTAAACAAATTAATTGTACGATGAGAGGGGTCACAGAATGTTCACCTCTGCGTTTCCAGGTTGAAAACATATATGTCCCCAAAGCAATTGATAGCAGCTAACCAATCATCATTTGAGCTAGTATACAGTTTTGTAATTGGAGGCTCGCGAGGAGGAGATTCGCCTTCCTGCCCCTCCTGGCGTGGAGTAAAAGAATGTAATAGCTCCATGCTACCAACGTCAACAATCTGCCAACAAATAAAGTTCAGATGTTTGACAAGGTCAAGCAAGTAAACAAAAAATTGGTTACTAGCAAAAAAATTGGCACATACATATATCCTTCTATCATGTCCAGCAATTATCAGCCGAGTGCAATCACAGCTGAAAACCATGGAATGGGCAAACGGAAGATTGGGAAGTCGCTTTCTATTAGCACTCCATGGATTCTTTCCAAGTTTAGTTTTCTTCAACTCAAATAGACTTGGGCGAACTTGATCAGAATAAGCAAAAAGTGATCCTGTGTTAGAAATTGCACTGCATATGATCTTCCGGGCATCTTTACTTTTAACGCGAACCAATGGCTTGGTGGAGACTCGCCCACTGGAATCATTGCTTATGTGAATACGAAGAATATCTAAAGAACAAAAATCCTGAACCAAGAGAAGAGAAGTCTGATTGAACACTGTATTATGTACCATCTGCATGGGCACTCTCTGAGGCGCCGGACATATATCATGTGGAGGGAACTTAGTAAACTCTTGAACTGAGTATGCATAAAGCTTTGCATCATCACCAGCTGAAATGAGCATCGGAACCCCCAAATGTGCCCATTTATGGTAACTGAAACCAACCGGCTTCTCCTTCCTGCGCTGTTTAGGACTTGTTACTTTTGCATTACTGTCTGGAAGGGAATCTGCAAAAGGTGAGAGCTTAAGAACCAAAAAGTAACAAAAAGACTAGGCAGCTTCTAGATAGTAATCAGTTATCCCATATGCATTTTGATACACATTATGGCCCAAGCCATAATCGGTGCTAGGGAATTCTTGTGATAAATATCAAGTAGTTTGATAAAACTAGTTTACTGGTTTTACAATGAATTTCTATTTGTAGTCGAACGAGGACTTCTTATGATACTCATTCTTTTATATTGAACACTTTGGGTTTTCACTGTGTTTGTGATCCTTTAACTCTAACACATTCAAACTTGAATCTTAATTATGAACCATACAGGAAAATCTGAATATAGTAGAAGCCACTGACCTTCCCAACTTATTGGTACTGCAACAGTTAGAGCCCTGATGTCATGTGTATGAGCCCTTACACAACCGATATAATCCCACTTCTGAGCGGAAGAAGGTTTAAAATCTTGTGATTTAAATGTACCACCAGAGAGCTTATATAGGATAACCTACAAAAGGATGAACGGAGAATTAGAAAGTTGTCACCATAACAGCCAACATATCTAAAGTCATGTCAAAGCAGGAAGGTTTCTTTTTAGTTTCACAAGACCTTTATATTTGATCATAGTATTTGTTTCTACTTTATTAAGTCCCATTTCTCGTCCATGGGGAACCAGTCTTAATTATATTCCAGTTCTTAACTGGGATTCACATGAGTGAACACACTAGCAGTATCATTTACCTGTCCATCAGCGCCTGCAGAAAACACCCGGTTATGACTTGGGGCTGCTGCAAGAGCATTGACATCACCCTTGTGATTAGAATGCGCCTGCAATAGGGTTCCATGCTGGCTATCCCAAAACTGGACACTTCCTGTACTATCTCCACTGACAAGAACTCCATATCTAAAATAGGATGTACATGATCAGTAATAGGAAAGGTAAACATAAAACTAACATATGAGCACGGTAGTCTTTACCTCAACGAAAGAAGAGACCAGATGCAGAGCTCAGACCCATTTCCCAGTCCTCCAAGTCCAACTGTGATTCTATATACCTCATGGCATAGATTAGCATCCCAGCACCTTATCAGCCTACAAATAATTGTTGGAAAACCGAAAAAAAAATTAACTCAAGCCAAATCAAAGAACATTTAGGGGTCTTCTTTCAAACCAAAAATGCATCTCTAAGGAAAGTCAATAATATGCATCTCATTCAAAGTAAAATAAATTATTCTCACCCATCGCTACTGCCCGAAAAGATTCTCTGTGCGTCCGAACTCCACGTCACACTTAAAGCACGACCTACGAAAATAATGTTTCATAAAGCTCAAAGTAAATACAATAATGAAGGATCAAAACGATGCTAAGGGAAGTAAAGAGTTCTCACCACTGACCCTAGGCAACGATCTATAGTAAGTTAACTTGTCTGATCCAGAGATATAATATATCCTCACGCAACCATCATCACAAGCAGCTGCAAGATGCCTATCCAAGGACTCTACTTTCTCATAAAGCTCGTCCAACTCAGAATCATCTTCAACTCCACTTTCTTCCTCGTCATCTGATTTCTCACTCAAGTATCCATTCTGAATCAGTTTAGCTTCTTGACCTTCTGCTTCAATGGAAAGAGGCGCCAGAGCTATTTGCCAGATTGATACTCCAAGTGACTCTAGAACGACCTGGACAATCACATTGATAAGATAAATAATAGAAGAAAAATAAGGGAATGTACTTATCTATAGAATCAGTAATCAGAAAAACCTGTCATGTACAACTTACAAGAAGGTAGAGTTTTTAATTCAGTGATATTCACCTTTTGCTTCAAGTCGAAAAGATCCCACTCTGAAATTGTGCCATCAATGCTAGAAGAGAACAATCTAGCAGAAGACGAACCTTTAGAACCAGCACCAAACCACGCAAGGTGCGAGATTCTCGATTTTGGATCTCCATGGATGATCTATACTCAAAAGAAAGTGAACAAAAAACACAAATTAACTATGACGAATCTAATCTTCTCAAAAATGTTCAAAATCGGAAGAGAAAAAACAAGAGCACTTACGAGCTGACAGTGCCAAGAGGAAGCACCCGGAGAGACGAGCCAGAGCTCAAGAGAACCATCTTCTCGAGCTGCGGCAACCTGAGAGCCGTCGGAGCTGGTAGCAAGAGCTACCACCGGCGATGGCTTCCAATCGATGGAGCTGCACCGGTACTCAAACATGGTGGCGACGGAGAAAGAGAAAGAGATTAGAGACGACGAAGCAAATTGCGTTTTAGGTTTTCCAAGGGTTTTGACTTTTTTAACAGTAAAGTTTAAAAGCGGTCGGGTCGACCCGATTTGGGCCACCCATAAAACTTGTTTCAAGTTAAATACGTTGTATAATGCCACGTAGGCAAATACAAAATAAGAAGGAAATAAATTAATTCGGGAAATAAATATTTGTAGAGCCTCTAGGTGGTTACGCGGGTTCCATATCCACCATATACTACTTATCTTAAGCCTTACGTTTTTTGATACTTGCTCTGCTTTCCAAATTCAATTTTCTCCAAATCTCCAGCTCTGCAATAGACCAATGAGACTCTGTTTCTTAGAAAGAAAATGAACGAACCATCTTCACGATATTTGGTAGTCACAGGGATGCTCGTAATGGCGACAATGATCTCCATGTGTCAAGCTATGGGTAATAACGTCTACCCTCTGATTCTGGTTCCAGGAAACGGAGGTAACCAGCTAGAGGCAAGACTGGACAGAGAATACAAGCCAAGTAGCGTTTGGTGTAGCAGCTGGTTATATCCGATCCATAAGAAGAGTGGTGGATGGTTTAGGCTATGGTTCGATGCGGCAGTGTTATTGTCTCCCTTCACCAGGTGCTTCAACGATCGAATGATGTTGTACTATGATGCCGATTTGGATGATTACCAAAATGCTCCTGGTGTCCAGATCCGGGTTCCTCATTTCGGTTCGACCAAATCCCTTCTCTACCTTGACCCTCGTCTCCGGTTAGTACCTTGCAACATTTTTCGTTTTGGGGACATAACATAATGAAAAAAATTGGCATTAATTTGGGGGATTATTGTTAATTTATTATATCGATAGGCATTAATCTGCTAGTAGGTAATGTGAGAGTAATGTGATAGTCCATTCTAAATGAAGCTAGAAAATTGTCGCTTAATAATCCTGGTATGTGATGAGAATTATAAGGACACTATGTATATGTAGCTTAATAATAAGGTGTGATTTGCAGAGATGCCACATCTTACATGGAACACTTGGTGAAAGCGCTAGAGAAAGACTGCGGGTATGTTAACGACCAAACCATCCTTGGAGCTCCATATGATTTCAGGTACGGCCTGGCAGCCTCGGGCCACCCGTCCCGTGTAGCCTCACAGTTCCTACAAGACCTCAAACAATTGGTGGAAAAAACTAGCAGCGAGAACGAAGGAAAACCAGTGATACTCCTCTCCCATAGCCTAGGAGGACTTTTCGTCCTCCATTTCCTTAACCGTACCACCCCTTCATGGCGCCGCAAGTACATCAAACACTTTGTTGCACTCGCTGCACCATGGGGTGGGACGATCTCTCAGATGAAGACATTTGCTTCTGGAAACACACTTGGTGTCCCTTTAGTTAACCCTTTGCTGGTCAGACCGCAGCAGAGGACCTCCGAGAGTAATCAATGGCTACTTCCATCTACCAAAGTGTTTCACGACAGAACTAAACCTCTTGTCATAACTCCCAGGCTTAAGTACACAGCTTACGAGATGGATCAGTTTCTTGCAGACATTGGGTTCTCTCAAGGAGTTGTGCCTTACAAGACAAGAGTGTTGCCTTTAACAGAGGAACTGGTGACTCCGGGAGTGCCAATCACTTGCATATATGGGAGAGGAGTTGATACACCGGAGGTTTTGGTGTATGGAAAAGGAGGATTCGATGAACAACCAGAGATTAAGTATGGAGATGGAGATGGGACGGTTAATTTGGCGAGCTTAGCAGCTTTGAAAGTCGATAGATTGAAAACCGTAGAGATTGGTGGAGTCTCGCATACATCTATACTTGAAGACGAGATCGCACTTAAAGAGATTATGAAGCAGATTTCGATTATTAATTCTGAATTAACCAACGTTAATGTCATGAATGAATGAGAGAAGTCAACTATTTCATCATTTTTTGTTCCACATTCTTAGATAAAGAAGTAATCTACACGGTTTGTTTTAGCTACTCCTTATAGGATAAGAAAGAATTGAAAAAAACAAATGAAATTACTTATTTGAATCTAAAGATAGTTGAAGACATATGGAACCCGTAAGTTTGTCACAAGTCATGTGCGTGGTGGAAGAACTGTACCTTGTTGAATTTGAGCCAAACTTGGAACATAATTCATAAGAAGTGAGTAAGATAATCTGAGTGTTGAATCTCCACCATGACAATCCACTTGTACGTGTTTATTTTCTCCCACAAAGTAAATGGTATTGTTGAGATTACAGTACCTCTCGCAGAACACTACAACTTTGTGCTGTTTGTCGGCCAAGAAACTGATCCCATTAGACCTATAAAAAAAATCTCATGAAAGGTTTGCGCTGTTACCAAGTTGCTCCATGACATGTCTGTTCCTGTACTAGTTGCCACCCATACATGCAAATCCCATGAAAATGGGTACTTATTACTATAACCCAACAGAAAAAGTTGCTCTTCTCTATTCACTGATATATCTGTAAACATATAAGGAACCTCCTGAGGAAGAGACAGACTTTGAAATCTCTCTGTTGTGAAATCAAAACTTTGTAAGAAATAAGGATATGTCACGTCACCACATCGTGATTGATCATATCAACAGCATCATGATGATCCAGCCTCAAGACTTTGTATTGCTTGCAGGAGGATTTGTTGTGGTAACCGAGAGCATAGAAGTCGGATTCCTTGTAGCTCTTTCTAGTTTAATCCACTTGGTTTCTCCTGAACATGGATTCCAAACCACGAGTCTATTGTCCTTGGTGGTGCATAGCAATAAACCATCGCAGTGAAAGATGTCACGTATATCGACTTCAACTTGTGAAGAAGATTTAGAAAAGGGAATTTTAACAGATGGAGCAACGTTGTTGTGAATTCCGTGGAGATTGATCCTTAATAAGTAAACCCTAGAATCAATCAACATGATAATCAGAGACTCCTTTGGTGCATTAGCAGAATGCTTCTTAGCAAAGCTACCAGTTCCTTCCATTGTTTCGATGTTGATTGCAATCGTGCCATAGATTTAGCCGGAACCCTAGAGAGTATCTCTTCTTGCAAATCCACCGGAAGCCATTGTGCATATATGCACCCTCAAGCTCCATGAACACTTTAGTAGCCATTGTGCATGCCTTGTATTCATATTTATAACATGAGATTCGATTCAAATTTTAGAGTAGAATTTTATGATTTGTTCTACCTAATTCATCAATCTTGATTATTTTCTGGTGATTCGGGGCTGTTTTGGTTGTTAACGAATGCCAGCCAAACTGCAGTGAATAATTGTAATGCTGTTGTTATGAACATGAGATTTAGAGTTGTCTAAAACTGGTAATGATCTTCTCATTCAATAAATTAAAAACAAATATGTGAGCCTGTTAATTCAAATACACCGGATTAAGACAGTGAAAGGAAAACACTTCCACAAACATAATCACAAAAAACAAAAATATCGTATTCACATTTCTGTAAAATAGTAAGAAAATGTAACATATTGTTAACGAAGAGCCGAGGAAGAAGTGAGATCGGAATCAATTAGAGTCTTGAGTGATTTAGCTTTCCTTCCTGTAACGTTACCAGCTTCTTTCAAGAGTTGGACCAGCCTCCTCTTCTCGTCTTCCGTTACAGGATTCGCTGTCCCGAGTTTTTCCTCCCGAACCCCAACCACGTGTCCTAGCAGCGCAATCGCATCATCCAACCTATAATCACAACCGAACCACAAACTTGTTTGAGGTATGCAGGAGGATGTAAAAAAAGAGATAAATTAACACAAGTACATACCTGCCAATTGCATCATAAGCTCCTGCAAGGTTGCTGTACAATCCAAGTGTTTCCGGGTGATATGGACCACACTCTTGTTCTAAGATACACTTGGCCTCTTCAAACAACTCAACAGCCTCTTCTATTGCGTCGAGCTGAATGCATGCTAAACCCATTTGGTTAAGTGCAATCCCGAAAAACGTTGATTGTTTCTTTCCAGTCGCCCGTAGTTTTGAGACAGCGCTCTTAAATGTGTTGTACGACTCCATGTATTTCCCCATCATATAGTACAACACTCCCATTTGAGCTTCAATCCCTGCAATCATGATTTTCTGGCCAGGAGAATCAGCATATATCTTCAGCGCCTTTTGAAGCAAGCTAATAGCTTGTTCCACCTCGTTCATAGACTCGCAAATCACGGAGATATCTGTAAGACCACTTGCAATCTCTTCAGGAGAAATTTCTAGGTTATGGGACTCGTATATCCGAAGAGCATTTTCACAATAAGACTTTGCTTCTCGCACTTTTCCTGTCCGATTATAGAGATCAGCTAAACGGATATAAACTGAACCAACAGCTGGATGGTTCTCTCCCTTTGCTGTCTTCAGTGCTGTGAGAGATTTCTGGTATGCACAAATCGCTTCATCAAACCTAGACAAAGACAAGTACGAGTCACCAATGCTAGTATCAACAAAAGCAACCTCAGACTCTTGTCCATTTGCTGCCATGGCCATACTGGCTAATACCAAATGCTCAAGGGCATTCTCGTGATCTCCCTTAGTCTCACATATAAGACCCATGAGTCTTCTATCCGCCGCTTCTGCGATTGAACCTGGTAAACCACTTTCTCTATGTATAGAAAGAGCAGTTTCGCACACCTGTTGAGCCTCATCAAACCGTAATGCTTGTACAAGAGCCTCAGCTAGGTATCTGCATGTTTCACCAACTCTTGGGTCATTTTCTCCCAAAACCTTCTTCTGGATATTCAATCCCTCGGTATAACACGATATCGAGTTCTCTAGCTGCCCCACCAGAGCATAAGTGTCCCCTAACTGCATCAGTCCAGCAAATTTGGCTAGAGCATGCTCTTCACCCTCTTCGACAACCGGAATCTCAACTGAGCGCTGCAGAACCGGAATTGCCTCATTGTACTCCTTTAACTTACAATGGACTGCTGCTGTAACATGCAAACACATGATCCATTCTAAACACGGTTTTCCATTCTCTGCAGAAGCCTCAAACAACTTAGCTGCTCGATGAGTTAACTCGAGAGCTTTGTGGGTGTTATCACCAGAACTAACCAAATTTCTCGCTTGATTCAGTAAAAACCGTGCCAGCTCTACATTTTCAGATGACGGTTCTTCATTTCCATTTTGTAACTTGGTATTTCCGACTTTCTTCTTCCTCATTCCACCAACTCCAACGTTCGATTTGTTCACATTCTTCTTACCAATTTGTTTCTCCATATCCTTGGGCATGACTTCCAAATCCAAGTTTGAAGAGTTTGACTTCACATCAAACTCTTCTGGCTTTGCCACTTCGTCCTCCTCTCCTTCATCTTCCAATATATCAATATCTCGCATCTCTCCCAAAGCAAGATGTTGTAGATCAGAATCAATCTTAGACTCATCACCATATGATCCAAAACTCTGCCTTGAAGGAGACTGATTAGAACTCTGCAATTCGCAGAGATTCTTACATAGCTCCTCTATCGTTGTGTCAAACATTTGGTCCGCATTAACAGACCCTCCTTCCATTATTTCCTCCGAATAAACAGCTCTCTGCACACAACCATAACCCAAACATCATCAATGGAGCTAAAGAAGGATGGGCAATTTCAGAGAAGGCTCCATTAAACCAAAAACGAAATAAAGGCAAATCCTTTAAGCAAACCCACAAATTGAAACATGTATTGAATCGAATCCTGGAAGAATGCATTGAAGTCCTTATCATTATCCAAAGACACAAATCGTTATATAATCTTTTTTCAGACCTTTCATTAGGACACATTAGCCATTGTAAAACAATACACGAGCGGAGAATACCTTTGTTTCAGAAAAACAACGAAAAATAAATCGAAAGGGGGGACAAAGAGAGAAACATAGAGACAAAATTCTAACCTTGTTTGGGATTGTGTCGGAATCGAAATCCTCGGAAGGAGACAAGAACAAGGAAGATCTGAGAGAAGTCTAATTGTAGAAATGACAAGTCCAGAAATGGGTCGGACTCGGAGGGTGAGAGAGTTGAAATTTCAACTTCTTTCTTTTTTTCTCGGTGGAATGTCAAAGAGGGAGGGGGAGGAGGAGCGGGAAGAGAGAGAAGAAAAAAAAAGTTATTCTTCTAATGCCGCCATTGCGCTGTCTCACGGGAACACAAAACTGCATTTATTGCTATTTTACTTTACCAATTCCAGCTAATTTGGGAAGAAAAACTGATTTTAAGTTTCAACAATACTAAAGTTGTAAATCTAGTTATCAAGATTATTAAAATGTAAATTTTTTCTCTCCCAGTCGATTTGAGGCTTTAAAAAACTTACATGGCTTGTTTCCAATTTCAATGGTGATATATAGACCATACTACCACAAACCACTAGACTAAACGTATATTTTTGTTGTTCATAATAGCATAGTTAGCCAATGACGATGATATAGTTTGTATAGTTGACCCCTGTTTTCATTTGTAAGTGGTACCTAGTAGTAGGGATGTTTATTATGTATTTGTTCAAACATATCTTAATAGAAGCCTAAAACAAACCAATGTGAACCAAATTTAAACTCAACTGAAAATTAAAGACCAACCCATAATGCACAAATCCACAGTATATTTCGTCTGAAATTGGTTACTTCCCCATATTCTACAACCAAATTATCTAAAACAAACAGAAAACTAAATCAAAAGTTCTTATATTCAAAGGAGAATATAGTTACAACGAAACGACAGCGTTTTGGTCACTCAGGCAGTCTCAGACGGTTGAAAACGACCAAGAAACTCTGCTCAGGGCCAATATATAGAAATCCAAGATCCGCACCCTTCACATATGGTCCCATTCCCTGTTCAGAAAACCCCATCCATTAAAACCGAAAGACGAAGAAATGATGCTTGGCTCTTTTGTGTTTCTATGTTTTACCTTTCCGTTGAGTTTTAAAAGCTTGCCCTCGACCCATTTTGGGTTTTTAAACCCAAAGTCTGCGATTCTTCCTTGTCCTCTGTAACTCGCAAGCTGCATATACGTAAACAACTTCTGGATAAGCTTTTGATCCAAATGTCAATGTGGTTCCAACCCATGAAATGTCTAAGCAATTGTTTCAATAGGAGATTAGATCGTTTTTTAATCTTTTTCTGGTTAAGTGTTTAGCTTAAGCATATGGTTCTTGATTCGATTTACATGTCTGAGCATGCTTTTGTTTTGGGTCTGTAACTGAAGCTCAGGAGATGAGGAAAGTGTCATTACCACTCCCAATTCCTCTGGAAACAAACCATGATTCGTCATGCGACTCCCATTCCCGATCCTTGCACGGAAGGTCACCTACCAAGAATTTGTGACCTTATCTTAGATTCTTCATCTTATACAAAAATGCCATGATTGAAAAAAAAAAAAACAATTTAAAAAAAGATAAATAACCTCGCCAGCAGGTACATTTGGATCCCCTGTCAACTTTACAGCCTCAACATATTCAAAGAACTCTATATCTGAGGAGTTACTTCCTTCTGCATCATTCCACCGACCGTACTTACGCTTAAGTTGCACTATCTCAGTGCCATATGGCCCGAATGCACCCACATATAGGCCTGCACTTCAAGTTCAGAACATATTCCAAGTTGAGTTGTATAAAAACATTCTGAGCCCAAATCAAAAGAAAGAGAATAACACTAACGCATAACATGCTTACCATCAAAAGGGTCTAGGTTGCTTTCAGGAGTTATGATTCTATTAAATGATGTATACTCCGAGAGACGGTTTCCTTTTTGCGCCTGATTTATAGCAAGCTTGACAATCTCACGCACATTTCTCGATACCTAGAACATTAAACGAACAATCCTTATATCTAAAAACATTAACTCGATAACATAAAGTGGTTTTAAATATAAAAAGTGGTGTAAATTCAAGAAATATACCTTCAAAGAAGCTTTTTCTGAACCCCAGAACGCCTTGGCAACCTCTGGTGGCATCAAATCTGAAATTCCTTGAGCTGCAAGAGCTGTTACTTGTTCCTTGGACACTCCGTTTTTCCTTGTATCGATATCAATCTTACTTCTCCCAGGAACGTGCAAGATAAAGGAATCCCTTTCAGCATCCATTATATCTGCCGAGACACGGTCAATCTCATCATCTATAGAGGAATCCTCTATGTTATGTAGAACCCCTCCGATGACAAGCTTAGTGTTTAAATGCTTTCCATAATCTGCACTATCCATAGATGAGATTTCTTCAATACTGTCATTTTCTTCTTCTTCTTCTTCATCATCGGAAGAATTTGTTTCCTCAATGCCTTCTCCAACCAGCTCTTCAGTAGCAGCATCACTGCCTACGATCTCTTCCTCAGGGATTTTAATAACATCCATTACTTTCAGTTTTAGCCCTGGGAT